ATTTCTTTTTTCATCCTGATCATTTATGTATACATTTGTCTATATCTATCTCGATTCGTTTTGGCTGTTACAAACAACCGTTATGTGAACAAAATTAATATACCCTTGTGCACAAGTGCGCTCGGGTATAAAAATTTTCATATATCGCTAGCTTAGAGTGAAAAGTTGCTAAGCCCACTTTTTATGAAAACTCATATTTTGATATAGGAGGCTAAAGAAATTGAATACGCATCGTTTCGAAAATTATAAATGTACTTGTTTTATTTTTTCCCCTTCATAAGCAATAAAAGGAAAATTTGCTAAGTCCAAAAGAAGCACCACAAATCCGATAAGGCCAAAATAATACCACATCTTTTAATAAATATCGAATCCTTCTGATTCTTATGGAGTTTTGCTTTGCTTTAAACGCGCAAAATTTTGATTCAATGTCTTGCGAAATAGTTAAAGAAAATGGCTATAGGAAGATTTTTTCCTCTCCTGTAAAATTTTTAAAATGGGACCTAGCAACTTTTCTTTCTAAGCTAGCGATATCTTAAAAGTTTGCAAAAAACACTTATTTTTTGATATTGAAAATAATCAGATATTTTTTTTTAATTTTTCTATTTCTTGAAATCTTTGAAAAACTAAATTTTAATTTTTTGAAAAATAATGCAAAATAAAAATCCATTTTTATCAAGTCAACATTTTCTTACTTATTTTCTCTGAGGCAATTAAAGATTTTCATTTGAAATTCAAACTTCCGATTCAATTCCAACAAGTTCAGCTCACGAATTATCGGAACATGAAATTTCTTTGTTAAAACAAAATTGTAACACGTACTTTTAATATAGACACTTTAATATATTTATAAAAGTGCGGTTATGTATTCCGAATATTTTTCCAAAAATTTTCTTTTCAAAACTGGTAATGGATTTAAATTTCTTCTCTGAGTCTATTAAATGAAAAACTTTTAAATTTTAATTTTTCCAATTTTCATAAGTCGAACAAATTTGCAATAAGTACATTATTTTGTGATGTGTTCTAAACGCTTTAAGTTTGATACCATTTAAGAACTTTAGAAATAACAAATCATTTTTTTACAAAATATTTAAAAATAATTCTTTAGAAATAAAAGATCTGTTTTTACAATATATTTAAAAGTAATTCTTTAATGTAAATTTAAATTTTCATATTTCTTCTATGAAGCTGTTAATTGAAAAAAAAAACTTAAAATTTTCATATATTTTTCTAGTTTGATATAAACAAATTTAGCATTTTATTTTTCAAATTTTTTATTTCTAGAACACGTTAAAAACAAAATTTTAATTTTTTGAAAAATAATAAAAAAGAAACGTTTTTATTTTACATTTTCTACTTTTTTTCTCTGGAATAAATTCAATCAAAGTCGAACTTCCGATTCGAATTTCAACAAGTTGAGCACACATAAATGCATAAGTATTCCTAATATTTTTTCAAAAGTTATATCATATTCTTTGTTGGTAAAACTTACATCAATCCAATGTTCGCCTGGAAATACCGCAATCAACTCCGTATTCTCATCTAACGTACGAAAATACTCCTCATCATCAATTTCAGTGCCATCGGAATCCAAATGTATGGTCGGTAGCTGATCATCGGCATGTTCGAATTTTTCGCCCACTTTGGAGCGCAACTCCTCCAGCGTGCCAGCGACGACGGCCTTCTTAATATTTCGCGTGACATCCTTGATCTGAAAAATGAAAAATAAATGAAAGTGGATTAGATAATTTCGAAAATATGTTTAATTTGAATTAAGTTTTTCTGATGGAAAAAAAGTTTGTTCACTAAAATTTCGATTGCCTGTTGAAGCCAAGTAAGTAGATGGCATATATGTAATTATCAGCGAGCTCATAGCTTAGGCTACAAATTTGCTTTTAACAGTTAACACAAAAATCAAATAAAAATTTTGAAGGACATTTTACGCTCGCCGCACATATTCCATTGCATGCGCTAGCAGTCACAGACACTTTTGATTGGTACTTAAAAACAAAAAAATTTTTCTTCGTTTCTCTTTTAACTTCAAATCATCTCTGCCCCACTGACTCTTCATCACCAATATGCAAATTTAAATAGCATTCATAGTTATTGCAAAAATTTCCTTTGTTTAGACACCACTTAAAAACACAAAAGGGACACCAATTTACTGCGCTGCTGGCACACAAATGGAGAGAAAGAGCACAAATTGCATTTGCTTTTGTTTTTTTGTTCAGAGGAAAAAAACATTGGTTTGAGAAAGGCATTAAATGCTTAAGCCACATTAAATTTCGATTTAAATACCATTTTGTATACATATCTTTCAAAAGCTTATGCCGAATACTAAAAACCAAATTCGGTTGGGACAAACCTTTATTTCCTTAGTTATATGGTCCTTTTTGGCGCTAATTACCACTTGTGATAGCTAATTGTTTTTTGAATGCAAAGGATATTGGGCCCAAAGAGTGTATTCAAAGTATGAAAGAGCTGAAAGGCTCAAATGGTTCCGGCGCGTAAAGCTAAAGCAGTGGCTGACGCATATTTTGTGTTATTGATAGTCTGTCATCTTAAATTATTGCATACTTTTAGTATTACAGCTATATAAATAAAAAGAGCTCACCTATAAAGTGACTAGAAATTTCATTTCGCTTTTAAATTCACACTAAAATCGCCAATTTAAGAAAAAATTCGCTAATTGACCGCTAGCGATCAGCATTTCAATGTAGGCGCTATTAAATAGTTTACACCCTAAAAGTATGCAACGTAAATCATGGTGTGTCATTTATTATGCCTGCGCTTATGCCTCCGCTTGCTGGTGCGAAAGCATACCGGCAAAACAATTAATCAAACTGCCAATAAGAGTAGAATGTATTGTGGTGGTAGAAAATGTATATCCTTTGGATGGATGGATCAAAGGGCAAATACAAATACACAAAAGTGTCTGAATATATGTATATGTAAGTACATACATACATTCATATATATGTACATATATGTAGGGATCGAGATACATTTACCACTAGCAAAGAATGGCTTTAATGCCAACATACAAGTAAATGCATTGGATACAACGTGCTAGTGCCTAAAAGTATACAACAGAAAAGTAAATAAAGCGTGATTTATACAAAGAAAGCAAGAGGGAATACGAAAAAAGATTGGGAGCAGGATCGGCGGCAGATTGGTAGCAAGTGAAATACTACGAGACTAAAGTTGTGAAGGAAGAAATCAAGTAAAACACAAAATATGAAAAAAGGAAAACTTGCACAGCGAAACGAAATAAAGGCGTGCAGAATTGGCAGGTGGAATGCTGGAAAGTTTGAGAATAATTAATGTAGCGGCGTTGCAGGCAGACAAGTGTAGATTAACTTCAAAAGAATGGATTTGAGGGCTTAAGGCATACCGTTGCGAAGCATAAAATTTCACAAATCTGATAACAGCGAGTATAACTTTGGCGGCGGCAGAAAGCGCATTTTCGGAGCTTTAATGAGAAACTATAGCAACTTAACGGAAAGAACCATTAAATAATTTATCAACAGAAAAGTACCCACTTTGTTAGGGATATATATGTATACATGGGTAAGCATATCGATAAACAACTCGTTATTGATATCGATAAATACATAAATTTATTTAAAATGATTTTGAAAAATTTGTATATCCATATATAATTTTTCCGCAACGTAAGTCGTTATCGATAAATATATCGACAATTATACCAATAACTAAAAACCAAAAACGATATATATATTCTACATCCAAAAGATGGCGGCATGTAAATATATGCTAAGTGATAACGTTACAGATAACGATAATTAAAGCGAAATCAATAAAAAAATTCGACAACATTTATCAATGAATAAAAAAGGTATAAAAATAAATATTTGGCGATAAACATTTGCTGGTGCTTGGCCGAGCTTCTGCTTTGATTTATGGTGTTCGCCTTGATTTTGTCACACTTTTCAATGAGACGCTTTTTTTCATTGCTGAAATACACTCGGAGGTTTGCTATACAGCTGGAATCTGGAATCAAACTCTGGACCTACCGAGTGATAGTGCGCACCTCTAACCACTCGACCCTGATGACCGCATTTATGGATAAATACAGCAATGAAAATATCAATTCAGAAATAAAGTGTTACCAAAGCAAATGTCGTCATCGCGTTGAGTAGTCTGCGGCAAAGTATTACAGTTTCCGGATCAATTATTGCAAGTCTTTGAGCTTTTAAAGCTTGCCAGGCTATCAAAAAAAATTATAAATACGAAGTATTCTGTGTGACTTCTCTGTTTGCAAATAGTCAAAAGCTTCCTGTATAGCAGCCAATTCGGCTTGGAAGACACTGCAATGGTCTGGTTGGCAAAACGAATTTGGTAGTACTTGTTGTCCAGCTTCAGTGTAAAATCCAATATCGTTAATAACAGGGACATAGCAGTTATAAGTCTTATCGCAAAAACGTTGCTCCATAACAGTTATTAGATGAGAAATATTTTTTATTTCGTTGATAAGAGTTATTTCCCAACGTTTATTCTTTACGTTGCTTGATAAGAGTTATTTTACAACGTTTATTTTTTACGTTGTCTGTTAAACGTTGTAAGATTAGGATATTGATAAAGATGGAGATGGAGAACAAGATAAAGATGATGAAATAAAAGTGAGAGGGTGAAATAACTCTTATCCGACAACGTAAAAGTAAACATCGGGCAGTAACTGTTATCAAGCAACGTAAAAAATAAACGTCGGGCAATAACAGTTATCAAGCAACTTAAAAAGTAAACGTTACTGTTATGAAGCAACGTTTTCGTTAAATTTCAGAATTTGGGCAACGTTTTCAATTTCCAAATTCGAGATAACAGTTATTTTTTGTCCCTGGTTAATAGGCCCTAGGGATTTCTACACTATATACTTTATAGTCTTTGTCTAGGATTATGGTTGGCCTATTACGTGACAGTCGAAGCCTATCAAAAATTAAAATGTACCCATAGTGATTCGCCCTTCTTCTGTATATTTTGTTAGTCTTACTAACTATACCAGCACCGGTTGCTATTTGCTTTCCGATAACGTTAAACAATGCCTTTATTGCTTCAGTGGGTGTAGACCGCAAATCCCTAGTGATCCATAATAGAGCAATTCTTTGCAGCTTTTTCAGTGAAAAAATTGTTGATTTCTTAGTTTCAATAGACCAGTAGATAAGAACCACATGTAGCAGTATAGCCCTGACCAAGACAGTAAAGAGTCAAAGTACTATACTAGGTGGCATGCGCCTTTTACGCCTGATTGCACCTTTCCGGGTATATATGGCGTTGGTTGATTGATAGAGCCATGATGTGGTAGGAGATAGGACCGCAACTGTCCGGTGCCTCTGCTGGCGAATCTACGCGTTTTTGTTGCTGTAGCAGCAGTGCTCAGCCTTCTATTTTGTATCCTTTAATCCTCCGGTTCGGCATACCTGAAGCGAGAAAGCGGGCGACGTCTATGCGACCAGTCCATAATGCTTCCGGTCTCAGCGTCTTCGTGTTTTAAATGTATGCGATGAGGTGTTGGGTGTCGTGAAGACCTTTCTATGTTGGGTAGCTGTTTTCTGAGTCTAGCCGAGAGAGGCAGCTGTTGAGTCAAATTCGCAACGAAGCTGTGCTAGGTTGCAGTTGGTCTCTCTCGGCAGTTCAACTGGCTCAATGTTAATGGGTTGCGGTCAAACTCCGATAATAATGTTGCCCATACAAGTGCTGCAGCTCGTCCTTGCAGCGTCGACATTTAGTTTGTCAAGCGCTTGGTTTATGACGCTTCGTCGAAGAGCTGACCTACCTCTAGCCATGTAGGTTGCAGGAGGGTTCCTATGGCGACATACTACGATAAACGTGATGTCGTGAGGTAATGCCCAGACGACAAGAGATGGCGGCCTATAGCCGTACGGAGAAAAACATTCTGGGGCATTTTTAAATCACTGGTTCCTGCCGACCACCCTTGCATTGCTAGCAGAATCTCTTTGTCGGCTCCTCAGGCACATTCGGTATGCGAGTTAAAGACTTTGTTTCGGGCAAGTAGTTCGTTACAGATGGCGGAGATATGGTTTACACGAAGACATTTTTGGTCAATGTTAACAGATCTGCACCGTTCGTTCGATTTTCAAAAAGGAGGCATGGCCTTTAGATGGGCAATGAGCTTTAATTTTTTCAAAAAGACTTGCCACCTATTAAAAAAAATATAGGTGTTATACGAAAGAAGTTTAAGTTTAAGTTAGTTTGCCAAACGAAAGTGTGTTAAGAAAACTTCAGTTTGAACATTAAGAATATTTTCAAAGTATTTTTAGAGTGTTGCCACCTGTTTAAAAAGTTTAAATCTAATTACTTAATATGTTATAAGTAGTCCCAGCGCGGTTTAAAAATTAAACCCAAATTTTTGACCGTGTACTTTTCGCAGTTATTTATCAAAAATCGACGTCATGAATCGACGTAAACGACGAGTTATAAAGGTATTTATGTGCCCTTTACAAAAATATATAAATTGTGCAGATTGCGCTGCATAGCATCTGCATTTCTAATCCGATTTTCATTATCTTTGGCTCAAAATTTACTGTAATGATATATCTTCTTTATCGAATTTTTAAACTAATGAAAAAAAATTATCGAATAAAACTACATATTTGATTGAAAATCTCGCTTTTTTCGACTTTGATGACAAAATGCAAATGGTCGCCTGTAGCACTAATAATTTTCGTTGAA